CTTATGTTTGCATTTGAGGGAATAAATACATATATTGACTCATGGTTAAACCTTTTAGCATTAGTAATATCAGGAAAAATGAAGAGATCTGTAGGATCAAGAAGCAATCGCGTACTTTCTTTTCTTTGAACCCGTGGTTTTAAGACCTTTAGATTAGACATGACGTTACGCTTCATTTCCTTATTAACACTACTGGATCCTTCATTTCATTATGATTTCATTATGATTTGCCTCAATATCCGTCACCCTTCATGGGAGAGAACTGATAATCACTGTCAGATATAATTGATCAAACATAACCTCATGGGTGACATTTGACAAATCGTACGAGTGGCGAAGAGGTCGGATAGGCACGAAGGGGGGGGGGGTGGGTTCGAGTGTCCACTATGGAGAGAGATGGAAAAGAACACGGAGAGAAAGGTAACATGATAAGATGAACAATCACACCATTTTTCAGAACCTCCCCTGGGGCTGTTTCATGAAGCTGTTCGTAAAGTTACGCATGACTTTATGAATGACTTATATATGAAAAGCCAAATGGGATGCTGAATTATTTTTAACTGCATCAACTAAAGTTGAACTGTGCATATGTAGATTAACATTATATATTAAAAAAAAACATTTCTAAAGCAAAGTATATTTTTTGCCATAATTTAATTGAGGTTATTGGAAATATAGTCCAACTTCGTTAAAACATCACGAAAAACTGTGGGCATCCTATCTGGCACTTCATATTCAAGTCGTTCGAAAAGTCATGCGTAACTTTACGAACAGCTTAATGAAACACCCCCCTGTTCGATCATAAAATCAGTGTTCCAGATGACTTTGCCTACCTACGCCCCTCCAAGGAGCTAGAGGACACATGTCTTTGTTATTTTCCGCTGTGGACCACCGCACTTCATTTTCTTCTGACGTAAGCAAATATTTATTAGAACCATAATCAAGCGAACTCGGAAATGTTTTGAGGGTCTGCATGGCTATTACTTTGAATTAATCTTGGCAGGGATGATGATACAAGGATATGCATGATTATGATGTTCATTGCTACTATATACAGGTGTACATGTACTACTAATGATGATAATAACGTGATTTTGTTTGTTAACGCGCCTAATACTATGTTTTAGGCGCCATGGTTGAACTCACATTGCATTACATGATGATCAAAATTAGTCATTCCTGTTCAGTGAAAATAAGCATACTGACGAAGCGAGAAGTAAAAAAAAAAAAGCGTTTTGTTACTTAAATTATATTCATCAGGACGAAACATCACAGACCTAACTGAGGATGTTTGAAGACCGATGCTGACTGTTTTTGTCCACAGAAACCAAGCTATAGGAATGCAAATGTCTTCTGAGTATAAATTACAAATATAAACCACCTTGAGAGACTTTGGTTGAATAAGGGGTCGAAGTGCCTGTAATATATTTTGAGGAGCGCAAGACTGAAACAAATGGCACTATCACAGTGGTTGAGACCCCATATATTTAACAATGATAGCGTTAAATGTCACAGCTACGAAAATAGTCTTCTCTTCTGGTACAAAATATATTTGATCACGTAAAGTGGTATTGACCAATCGAAATACACGATATATTCTATAAGGGGTATAATAAGCGATAGTGTTATGTTTAGAGCTAGTCTAACATATGTCACCTAAAATACTCATTATTAGAACATTCATTTGTCAGAACATAAGGGTATCGGAACATAGAGCTGCCGCAAGAAGGATTTGAGAAACATAGCTAGACAATCAAACGAAAGGACTAAATTTACAGTAGACAGAAAATGGTTATGTGAAGGAGGATGGAATTATTCTGGGCCGAGAATACTTTATCAAGAAATATGTATAGAGATAGGCAGACAGACAGTGAGAGCGTGGGGACGGGGTTACCGCGAAGGAGAGAGAGAGAGAGAGAGAGGAGAGAGATAGAGACAGGGAGAGAAAGAGGGAATACATATTTTGAAGTGTTTACTAATGTTCGTTGCACTGCTTATACATAAACATTATTTGTAATTATCCGTATAAATAATGCATTCGTATCACAAAAATGTCTTATTTTGTTTTTTAAATCTTACCTAGATCATGTTGTCTCACATTGTAATCTTTGTTTAAAGGGAATAGTGATCTTATCCTGTTATTAAGTAATAAAGGGTGAACAAAATATTTCGTGCTCTCTATGATGTATATTATGGTCACAGACTAGATGCAGAGTGGAGCAGCTAGAAAGGTTACATTTGTTATAAAAGGAGAAATATTTGTTTCTATCTGGAACCATCAGAATCATCTAAGGTTGTAAAGTAAATAAAGGTTTTATGTTCTCTAATTCGCATTATATTTTACATTTGAATGCCCCCCCCCCCTTATCGTTGCATGTCATCAGATTCACAGTCACGGAACTATATCGCTGTGACACCTCTATTATCTTCCAAGAATAATTGATAAACATAATGATAGGTACCCAAAGGGAGCATTAATTTTGTTCTAATTGAATGCTGGAACCTTTACAGGGTTTCATAATACATAACCTTTGTATAGCGAGTCAAAATCGTTGATAATTAGGTCAGAATAACCCTTTTAATAATATCATTGACAATGTTTTTTACAAGTATAACTTTAAAGGGACTTGGTAACTTTTTTCAGATGAGAGATAATGGTGCTAAGATAGTGACTTCAATGCGAGATGTACGATTAAAGATAATCTGAAAGTTTGAGTGAAAACAGACAATGTTTAATGATATAAATTAGGAAAAACTGATCTGATCGTTTCCCTAATTCTCCCAACTATATTATTACAATTTTAAGTACATTTTAGGTGAATGTAAATCGCCACGAAGCAACGAGTTGTCTTTATATACCATTCCAAACATTTATGTGTTGAAAGATTTTTAAAAACCTTTCTTATATCTTATTTTCAGGAAAAATGTTTGGGAAAAATTCAAAAATGGTCGGAAGAATTTACTGTTTATAGAGGGTGTCGCACAGTGACGCCTTCAAAGAAAACCATAAATATCTTTGTGATTTTAAAATTTAGTTAAGGATGTGTGGCATGTTAGAGTGTTAGTACAGTAGTAGGAATATGATACGTAACATTTCATACAAAAATTACCCAGTTTTTTCATCAATCTTAAACAATGTTACCGAGTCACTCTAATGCCACTCACATAAAAAGGTACTCAAACATTGATAGTGTACTATTCATTCTCACGTTCGTTTATTTCTCTCTGAACAACCATTCAACTATTTAAACAAAAATGTATTCTCGTAGATGACTACCAGGAAACTAAAAAGATGATTAATGGTACGACATTGAAAGATAGAATCACTGAAGGAAAAAAAGTTAATAAACCGGACTACTAACATATTAAACGAGTAATATATGCAGACTGGGTTCCGAGTATTGTAGTTCACACATTAAATAAGAAGAGGTTAATGGAATAACTCGTCACTAGGTCCCTAGGAAAGAGACATCCGTAAACGTGAATAATATTAGTAAACCGGTATATCGTATAATCAACTTATAATAATGGAGGCCTTTTGGATTCCGCTCATGTCAATCACGCCAAGGAGCAAATCAACACCCATTAACACCTGTGTGGAGAGTGGCATAATTATGACATGACGTCAGAACTGGGCTGGGATTCGAAATCTCAACCTCTCGATTGAAACTCAAATAATTGTGACAACAAATCATCCATAAATAATCTAGATCACGGTTAGAATTCTCAATTGTCAGGTTCTTGCTGTTAGTACTCGACTTTAAGAAAAAAAAACAATGTAAAATAAAAGAACATGCGCAAAAACCTTTGCAGGTGGACATACTTTCCAACATAAGATAAAAACAAAAAAGAAGCAATTATTACTTTCTTGATTTATAACAATGAGATGTTCCTGGTTCTATTGCTATTTTGTACACAAATTATAGTACTATACACCCAAACTCTAAAGCAGTAATTTACGTGTCCAGTCATGCCAGTGTAGGACTCTGTCAACTTAACCGTGATAGACGATATAAAGAGAAAGGAAAAATGATAAAGGTCGAATTAACCTGTCGAATTTGACTTAAGTTTTCGACATAAAGGCAACAGTTATTTCTGGCTTGATTGACGTGTCAGAGGTATAACCATCATCAATATAAACAGTCCGAGCTTATACCTAAGTCCACGCTGTTCTCTTCTAAATATCATTCTCCATTTTTGCGGAAGCCATCTATTAAGGCCCCACGCAAACAGTTATATCGTGTTTCATAGTCAAGGTAGAAACAAGGAGTGTCAGTGAAAACATGGAGGGTCCACGATGGAAACAAGGTGGCTACTTCAAATCTAACCGTTTTATCGAGTGGATATGACAGAAAGATTAGAGAGGAAGGGAGAAAGTAGAGAAGGAATTGTTAGAGCTTTTCATACGGTATAAATGCGTATGAAAAGGGGAACGTTATTACACCAAATGGATGTAGAGAAAAGAGGTTTTGTTATGTTACAGCAATGTGTTGGTACATGAATCCAGCCAGATATATATAGAAAATACTAAGCTCCGTGCTTCAAACACATGCACAACAATTTGGTTATGATTTAAAACATTTTAACATATCACTACCGTAAATCATGACAACAGTTTGGTGATTGGAATGTATAAAAACAAACTTTGGGAAAGTCTAAGCAGTTGAGTGAAAAACCTCACGACATTTCCATGATTCGACTGATGGCAGGAAACCAATAAATTGTGCTAATTTACACTAATTAGAAAGGTGGGAAATTAATGAATTGGAATCGTAAAGTGTACCGACAGGCCACGTGTGTTTTTATTCATATATACTTAACAACTTAATGCAAGTCAGTAAATCGGTGGAATTTTAGTGAAAATTTTACCTGATGGCAAAATGAAAATGGTTATTGATATTTCTGGAAATATGTGAAGTTTTCGTGTGTTTTTTAACTCTCTCGCCCCCTTTCTTTCTTTATATATCTACCACGTTGTGATAACATTTAGTTGTACTCACATTTTGGTCTCATGCGTTGCTCACCAATCATTGGTTGAAGCTCAGTTGATACTTGGAGCACTGAGAGGTGTAGCACCAAATACGTAATCCATAACAGTGCTGACATCTTGAAAATGTTCCGTCGACGAGGGCAATGATGAAAACGATAACGATAGCGGTAGTGAAGAAGTTACAGTGATGCTGATCTGGAATCACTGGACATAGTTTTTCATAAACAAACTTTCAGGTGCCTCTCCTTTTGCCATTTTCAAGTCAAAACCGCTGATGCTTCTTCAAGAAAAATATCTCAGTTAATATTTCTGCCGATGAATAAATATAAAATTGACACTCCATTTAATAGCAAGAGGTAGCCACATCATATGGAATTTTCCATAAAACGATAGGAAACTGTCTCCTTTGGATAAAATGTCCCAAGGTTTGACAACGATTTTTAAAATAAACATAAGCAGTTCAATAAGTGACGATGCAAGAAGAAGAAATAAACATTGAGATTTTCCTGGTTGCTAGGAAGTAGTTACTTTCTCCCTCCTGCGCTACCTTTCGCGACATCTATCAGGGGTGTCTATCGTCTCCAAAGTTCCCAAATGATCTGCCTCTTGCATTCCATTACACCGTACTCGTATGTGTGTGCTATGAGCCCCATAGCTCTTGCGATCATAACATCATGACGTCATTACAAATTGAATGGGTATAGGGCGCCACTGCAGACGGTGGTCAATCTGTGAAAAATGCGAGCAAACGTTATTCACTGTGAAGTGATCCTTCTAGTCGATGACATAGTTATTTGAATAGTGGACAACACATTAATTTGATAATTGTTGTGTTGTTAGTTTTGTACACCGAACTAGGGTGTCTTTCTATCTCCCTGACCGAACTGAGGAGATGTGCATGGAATCGCTTCATTGGAATCATATGCATGTAGGCTCCTAACAGTTTACATTGTGTCTATATTGCACGAGTACCATTCTTTGCTCTTTCCTCGACACACTTTGCTTATTTACCGTAGATTATAATTCATGTATCTTCTATCTACTCTTCTTGGATTTTACTCTTTAATTTTTATGAATCTGAAATGTTTGTTAGATATATGTGGAACAAAAAAAACTTCTACGTACGAAATGTAATTTCGAAACGTACCTACTTCAGTTTTGGGCATACTGAAGAATATCAGTAGCAGTAGCTTAATGTAGTCTGCCGCCCGGAATATGATGTTCCTCACAAAGTGAGTTATTATTGTTTCGGGTTTGGCACATGTTTGAGAAGAGTAATACAAGGGGCGGATGTTAGGATAATTCTGTTAAAAAGAAGCTCATTGATTGAGGTTTGGATAGAGTGACTAAATCCAACATACCACAAAACTACGTCATCAAGCGATCTCTACGGCCTAACTATAATCCAAACAAAGCACATCCATGATGGAACGGCTAGAAATGTGGTTCTTCTTCTTTACTTTCATTGCTTTCGTGAAGAGATAACTGTCTAGCTACCCTTCAGACCTCACGACCACATATTCTAGTTAGCAGCTACATCACATCTTCTGTATTTAGAACCCATCAATCGACGAAGAATAGTGGGTCAATTGATATTTGGTTCTACTTTAACCTTGTCCAAATCGAATTTCGCTTCCACCCATTTCGACTAATAGTACTCATTATAAGTTCTTTTTAGTCGTATATTTAATTTATTCACTTGTATGATAATCTAATTTAAATTTCTTGGGTATTATTTATATTTTGTGTAAACTACTTCGTGTCAAATCCTTTCAGTCTAATAAAAAAATAATGATACGTTAAGGTGTCATTAAAATATGTCCTTTAAAATAAAGGACACTTTGTACTTTGTAGATGGGCCTGAATATGAGATCAAACATTCAGTATTCATAATTACTTAATAATGAACTAATAGCCCAAGAAAGATATTAATTTAACTGATGAAACTTGGCAAATTGACATTGAAGCACAGAGAAACTTGTATGTTGGAACACAACAATTTTATTCTAGTTGCAGAGTGTAGATATAGGACATATAGGATAGTGGGTATAGGACAATTGGTATTGGAAAATCGAAATATCGACTATTTACTTAAATGGTTTCGGCTTAAAGGTGATTATTTGGATAAAGACAAATAATGATAATGATGGTAATAATAGTGATAATAATAATAAAGATAATAATATCAATAATGATAATTATAATTGCACCCTTGGCGCTTTAGTATTATTACTCCGTCTTTTGTACGACTTTCATTACAGTGCTCCATGGATAAATTCATGTCAAATACCCATTCATCTCACTTTGGTCGAGTGACAAGTATAGATTTATGTATTCCCATGGACATCTGAGTGTAAAGGTAAAGATTCGAACCCGTGACTTACACTGCGAGGACATATCCACTAGACTATCTCTCCAAGTTACATGTGATGTGTTAATACATTCAGGACGCCATTTTTCATGGATATATAAATATAGCACATACAGGCCTTTTAGGGTCGGTGGGGAAACTGCGAGGGTGGTTCAGATCCTATCTTAATTGACGGTCCGTTGCCCTTCCAAGATTCAATGCCAAATATAGACTGCTCATATACCCAGAAACGGTTGGACTTTTGATCCTACACACTTGGCAGGAGATCGAAAAGATTCATTTCAGATTTAAGAAACCGAAATGTGGTGTTAATAAGATCATCGAAGAAGATGAAGAGCTCAGTGGAATCCTGTTATCATCCTGGTATCCTTCAAGACTCTTTTTTAGCAACTGGATTTACATTCTACAACTGTAATCTTGTCTGGCAGAAGAATTAGTATTAGAAATATGTTTTGAATCGGAAGAAATTTAAATCTAATTTTAAGCAAAATTTTTGCACAGAATGAAGTTGCGATGAAACTGATTAAGGTCACAGTCTCACAGGTTACCAATACCTGCACTGTCACGTGATACAATATCGTGTGAAATTTTGGAGGACACATTGATGAGTAAAATGTCATATTGTAATGTAGATGATCCAAATGTTTTGCTTTATATACATTATGACTTTTGATCTCGACTATGATTGGTATAATAAATGGCAGAACAATTTTTTTAATCTAAATACAGAAAATAGTAAAGTAATGACATACAAAGGTAGCGCGTCACTATTGCAAGAGACCATTAAACCATGAAGGAGTTGCCATTATTTATACCAAGGCGGCCATGTTTAGGCCCTCTTTCAGACAAAGTTTGGATTGAGTGCAAATATTACACAGATGTTTGTGTTGTAATGATGCAATATATAATAGAAAAGCAAGGATATTAAGACCATCTGCTAAAATGTCAACCATTTCATACATACGAAAAGCAGCGGTCTTATAACCACTATCTTCGATTGTGTCCGTGCTACTGTGTGTTAAACCTGGACGCCTGAGGGTTTGACTTTATATGCCACATATACCACAACTGCATCAAGAAAAACAATATAGTGTGCCTTGAATGTGTCTAGTCAGTCTATGTGGGATAGTAAGCAACAGGGCCAAACACATTATCATCCTGAAATCTGAAATATCAGCAATTACTTCATGATTTATAGAAAAACAATATCCACTGTGTATCGGGTGGGTGTCTCCAGAAGCTGAATTTGCATTTTAGACTTCATGTTTGTGTGTATGATTATTATTCTTTTAGGTGTTCGAGATATGATGTTAATGCCACAAGCCGCATTGAACCGGTCTAGTTACTCCTTAAATTACTAGGCTTTTGACCTTTACTTCTACCGTACGTTTATATATATATATATATATATATATATATATATAAAGATATATATATATATATATATATATATATATACTGAGTCCATATTAACATAAAGTGTCACTGTCCTTTGCTTAATATTAAGTGCAAACTAATATTTCGACAGAATTCGTAAAGTTTAAGGGCCAAATATCAGATTTCAAGTCTCTACATTATGAATTTTTTGAAAGAATTTGTCTGAGGACACCCTCCTCCACGCCAACATACCAACATAACCTATGGTTATTTATTTTTTTCATGAATGAGAACAAAATTTAGATCTCAGCGCGTCGTAGCCACGAAATGTTGCAGCCGTATTGCATAATTGAATGAAGTATCCCAAGTGCATATTACATTTACAGGTAGGAAACATGAACAAATTTTGACACGGCCTCTTTAGGTTGATATGTTAAAGAGGTCCGGTCGAGCTTAGATAATCTACAAAACCTAATTCGATATGAAAATCATTGATACATGAAGAATATTTTGGGTGACAGAGCGAAATATATGAATTTCTTTTGGGAATAAACCTATTACATAGGATTTTTGGCACCTACTACCAAGATTACTATTACTATTTCTATCACCATCTTATCCACCAAGGTTATCCAAAACATCAATTCTCACACAAGTACATGTATATAGTGACTATTACAGCCCAAATGAGTAAGTATCAGCCGAGTGATAGCACGTGTCTTCCCTCTATGATGGTGAGTTGATATCTACAGTGATCTGTCACATATAGACACAGGAGTCGTTTGAGGCGGAGTTTGAATAGTGACACCTCCCCCCCCCCCCCCCATAAAAAAAATGTTCAAATGATGTCACCGAAAGAAATGAAGGTTGAATTGACGATGTGACAAGAAACACAGTAACCCGTTTGATTGCTACACATTAATGATAGGCCGTAAAATGGGCATCAACGAGTATTAAGAAGAAGATGTTGTTAACATATATGATTCGGCTAATTCTTTTCCCCCAAAGGTGGATATGCCTTTATCGTTCCTTAATCAGTTTTGATACACTATAAACATGTAAAATCATGATGACCATGAAGATATCTTCAGAATTTCTAAGAATTCATAAATCACGCCGCTGATATCTATTATTTCCAAAGTATCCTAGAAGCTTGAAACTGAAGGTGACATAGAACAGGGTGTGATCAAAGAGATAGGAATAGATCGATCCCAGGGGAGATCATGTCAAAAAAGATAAGAAAGCTGGGTTGCTATTTCAAATATAAAGATGCTACTTATTTCCTTGTGTGAATCATGGAAGTGGAATATAAAACATCATAGATTCTTTTTTAATGTGAACAAAATCGTCATCGTTTATTCTCATAAAAGACATGAAACTTGAAAACACTCAATCGTTGAGAGCTTGCGAGCACATGGAATATAAGTTGACGCGACATGAATGTATTTTTTTTAAAATACTAAATGGAAATGATCCAGCAGGTGTTTAAAAACAGTTTAGATCGACTTTGTGTCATTATCTAAAATAAATTTGATGTAAATTTATCTATGAAAGCTAAAAGCTAGTCAGTCTTAGCTTATCGAACCTTATATCATGGTTATTCCCTCGGTAATATAATATGATTCTTTATTTGTTTACGTCTCTCTTCAAATTCTGTAAAACTCCCCAAAATACCCAATAGCATTATTGGGTATTTTCGGTTTTAGTACTCCTTACCTTAATAATCGATTTTATTTGGCTTTCAAATTCAAATCACAGTTCCAACAGTTTTTCTTAAATAAAAGAATCAATACAATCGAGACAAACCAATATAAAGACGCCATTTTAATGACACCTCTACGTTTCGAAAAAGCATTTAGTATACATAAGAGAC